AATTACAGTTGTTCCATATCCTCTGTTTGTATTGAGTAAAAGCAGAAATAGTAGATGCACTGCAAAACTAATGCTTCTGTAGAAAAATCACGATAATTTATAATGGAACTTTGATGGATGCTGAAATTGAAAGATGAAAATCTTACAGAAAACTCTCTATGGGTTGCCAGATAGGTATCATTCAGCACATTTTGCTGCCTGAAGTATAACAAATAGTATTTAACTTCCTAAGTCAGATTTTGAATATCTAACATGGACAACCAGGAAAAATGTCTTCATGGTGCTTAACCCAAATGTTATGCTATTGCCTAACTTGATTTGAATGTGTGCTTCTTTTTTCAAGAGTTCTGTAATTCAAAGGAAACACAAAATGCATATTTGTGGAAACAAAATATTTGACTTGAATTTATTAGATAACAGTTGTTGCCATCACAGAAGGAAACTGAAGGCAATGAAACAACTACCTCCTAATGAGAATGAACATAAGTAATTTAAAATAGTATTTCCCTGAAATCTTATTCAGTGAGCTTGGTGCTTGATGAATATAGGGTCATTTTAAACTGGGGAAAAACTGCTTTTGTCAGATGTGTGGTATAGATTTTGCCCCAAATTAGGATATTGCAGTACAAGTTTTCCGCTACTTCAGCCAACAAGGGCTTTTGTATAGCTATACTTTATCCTGTTTTTATTGTTTGCAGGTGGGGAGAACTTCATTTTAGTTAAGGCACCAGGCTAGAAAGCAGGAGACTGTGAGTTCTAGTCCTACCTTAGCCATGAAAGCTGGCTAAGTGACCGTGGACCACTCATTCTCAACCCAGCTCACCTCACAGGGTTGTTGCTGTGGGGAAAATAAAAGGAAGGTGTATTGTATATGTTTGCTGCCTTGAGTTATCTGTGAAAATAATAAAGGTGGAATAAAAAATAGACAAATAAATCAATTTGGCCATTCCATTTTACATACTGTCTTACACCCATACATTTTACATTCTTCATAGGATACTTCGAGATGCTGCCTTCTACAACTATTCATTTCCCTTAGTGCCTTTGGAACACTGGGAAGTTGGGATTAACTGTGGGGGTCCTTGGTTCTGAGACCAAAGTTGGCAAACTTGGAAACAAGCAGCAGTTAGGTTTCTGGAAAGATGTGTATTGCTAGTAAGATAATATAACAGGATCTTGAAAGCCTGTCAAAGCAATTCTCTTGCTTAGGTTATACCCAGCATAATTAAGCCAGAGTTACTCTGTGTCTGTTTCTCACGCTTTCCCCTCCCCTTGCTATGGTGTCCCTTGTGCAAAGTCCTGTTTCCTCTTCCGCTTTCCCAGGGTCAGTTAGCCATGCCCTCACAGCCTGTGACCTATTATTCAGGCTATTACTGAAAGGAAAGTATCTTCTCTGGAAGATTGGTAAAATTCTGTCAAAAATTAGTCCATCTGATAAGAGGAAAGGGGCAGAGGAAAAGGAGACAGACCCAGGGTGAAGCATGAGAAGCACTCTTAATGTGCTGGGTGAATTTTCTCCAGTTTTAGAATTGTTCTTTGCCCCACCAACCTATCAGTTGGGTTATTTTTGGAGATAGGTTGACTGGTTTTCCAGAAGACCAGTAGACCCCTGTTTACAAAACAGTTCAAGCGTTAATTATTTCATGAAACAGTTTTGCTGTGACAACTTCTCTCACAGGCAGCTTGAAAGGTGGCTGGGATGAAAACTACTACTTGTTGAGAAACTCCACTGTTTCTCAACAAGCTGGCTGGAGAATCCTGGGAGTTGAGAAACATTGACTTAATCATTCTGCTCAGACCTGCCTCTGACTTCAATTGCTGATGGTTTTTTTTTTCCTGTCAGCTTGTGATGTTGGGTGAGAAAGCAATTGAAGCTTGGGAAGTTTACCCATCATTTCCCTTGAATTGTCCTGCAGTAAACGTCTAAAAGAGAACAATTCACAAGCTTTGTTAGCAAGTAAAATTTGTGCTCATCAGTTGGAGCAGTGCAGATTGTGCTGGGATTTATTTATTTATTTTTTATTTGGCTGATTCAAGGACTGGAGAAATGTACATTAGCAAAGTTGTGAGACAGAGCCCTAAAAGTGCAAGTAATTCTTTAGTGCAGATTCAAGAGGGAAGCTTGAGACAATGAAAAGCTTTTGTCCTAGGATAGCAAGGAAATACCATCTTAATTTAGTTATATATTTACTTTATTCCACACAGGCTGTTTTGCTGTGCTTAAATCCATGTCTCTTATTTGTTGCCTTCTGCTTCTCCATGACCTGTCATTAGCTGTCTTTTTTCTGAGATCCCTTCTTAATGGTATCTTAACAAGAGAGCGTTGGGAGATAAATGGCTTTGTTTGGGAGAGTTGTGCATTTATTTTCTATCACAACAAATATGATCTGATAATAAACATCTGCTTTCCATTGACTGCTATAAAATTTTGCATTATATAATCTCATTGTCTAGGGAAGACAAATCTCTGTCTCTGGGTACGTACTTCACCAAACTCTTTATTATTAATAACAACACAACGCTGTCTTGTGTAATAGCTTTTCACTATTCCATTGTTTTAATATGGGCCTGTTTTATTTTTATATTCCATAGCAAAAAGGAGAAACACTGCCCAAAGGTGTTTGCTTTCCTATATCCAATTATTTCATTTTCTTTCTGCTGCTCCTAACAAATCCTCAGTCTTGTTTGCGATGGCGAGGGAGGTATTTAATGAACAGAAATGAATATTTTATGATAGGAGTAATGTGCACTCTCTTGCTAGAGTAGGGATAGCAACAAACTGACATCCATTGGAAATCTAAAATAGGAATGATGAAAGAAAGAGTAAGAGAAAAAGCACATTAAATCTTATCATTTGTAGAAATACGATTCTGAAATCACAGTGTCAATAGCATTCATTACCTTGCATCCATTACTTATTACTGGCATTTAAATAAGGATTGCTCTAGGTGACTTACTGGTAGACAGTTATGTTGTCTACTATATATTAACATTAAAGAGAAACTGAATGCCCCTGAGAAATTATTTTGAAGTTGCTTCTGTAATAAAACAGTAAAAGAGTAAGATAATAATATTACTATTTATCATTATTTGCTGGAGAGAAGCAATTTGATGAGGCACTTTTATTAGCTGCAGAGCTAGAATTTCTGAAACAGCAAGAATTTACACATTAGCTATTCTTGTGAGAGTCAAAGAAGTTAATGGCATGTATATGTGGGTAGGGGTTGAGGCAGTTTTAGCATATCCTGTTCCCTTTTGAAGTATATGGTGGCAGATAACAGCAGGGTTTCTACCACAATAGTATCTTGTAATTGAAGGAGGAGAGGGGGTGAGTGAAGAAAAAGAGGGAAAGAAGTAAGTTGGTTTGAGGTGGGATGCGGTTTGGGGGGAAATGGGCGGGCAAGACCGAATGTGGTGTGTATCAATTTGTTTTATTTTTTATCTGAAGTATTTGTAAGATTGTTATGTATTGTAAACTTGAAAATAAAAATTTTTACAAAAAAAAAATAGTATCTTGTAATCTTTGTCCCATTTCCTTCTCTGGTTTGGTTTTTTTTTTTTTGGATCTGTGTATGTATAGATATGTTTTTATTGTTACATCAAATTATTCACATGAAGTAATTCTAACTATCGGATTCTTAAATTATACCCACTTTGTGACTGCACCACTACAATATATATATTTAATTTAAAAGGGCGGAATCCTTTGTTTGAACATATGCTTCTTCTCATAATGGGCAGTATAGAAATAAATAAAATAAATAAAATTCCTGATTCTCAGATGTCAGAATCAAAGGGTATATTTTAGAACAGTGTTTCAATTTAGGATAATCACAGATGTTACATTACTGCTGCCATGGAAAGCAGAATAGAATCCAAATGATTAATATCAGTGGGAGATGCTAACAGGGCCCTTTCTGTCTGATAATAAATCCATTTTGTCTAGGGATGCATTTGCTCCGGTAGGAAGTGAGCTGAGGGATGGAATGATTATAATGTTGCACAGGGGAATAATCTGAGTATATTCAGCAAGTGATGCTTTAGTTATTATGATCATTATCATGTGACAGTTCTGGTCATTTGAATCTTCCATACTGGCACACAGTCAATCATCATCTTAGAGGTGTTACTGTCGCCAGTAAAAAACAACAACCCCAAAGCCATGAAAAACATGGCTCATCCTTAAAAGCCTTCATTTAGAGATTGTACATAGCTAGACCTGAAGTAGTTGTTTTAATATTATTTAAATGTGAATGACCTAGAGATTTGTTTGCATTTCCATACACATTTTGAGATATATAATTCCTTCAGATATTATGGTCTTTCTACTTTTTGATTGCAGGTTGATATCGAATGGTTAATCTCTCTTCCAGTGTTCCCAAATCGTCAGTCGCACATGTTTTATTAAAGCAAACTAATGAAAAAAAATTATTGACTTAATTATCCCTAGACTTTGCAATCAGTGTCCATAATACATAAACATGATAATGTGGCATGATTATATAACAATGTGTGATGAAAATACCTAAACTGGATCCTCCTCTCTCCCCATCTGGATTATAGATCAAATTCCTAGTGTTACCATTTTTGGCTTAATATAGATAGCAGCGTCTGGCTGACTGAATATCTTTAAAAAGCAAAATCTGGTTAGTTTTTGGATAATCATTAAAAATACCCAATCATGGCAGGAGACTAGATGTGAAAGTCAAATATTTCCATATTTTGGCTAAGAAAACAATATAATAAATCCATGTGGTCCTCGGAAGTGAGTTTAACAAAGAGAAACTTTTTAAAAATATATTATTTACAGAGATTTTGAGAATATTTACTAATAATTGCATTCAGACAATTTTCTTTTTTAAATTCACCTCAATCACTAGTGTTGCAATTTCTCTGTGAGTGAATGGGGGGGGGGAATCTTGACTGAGCTATTTTTAGAAAAGAATGATTATAATCCACATTTTCTTTTTAACATCTTGTTATTGTGTTCTTCATTCCAGATAGCCAGCTTGGTTTCTGCGGACCAATTTCAATTGTACCAGAAGTTGAAATTTGAAAGAGGTGAATTTTTTTACCTTAAGACTGCATTGTTAAATTCACAAAATAGCAAAGAAGTTGTAGGAAAAGTTACTTGACTGATTGTACAGTCTTACTAATGTCTACTCAAAAATAAGTCTCATTTAATTCAGTGACACTTAACCTCAGGTAAATAGCTAAAGAATTGTAGCCTAATATATTATAAAAACAAGCAAACACGAACACCAGGAAAAACGTTTAATCTAGTGCCAAGCTTTCGTCAGCCAACTGCCGACATCATCAGGGCTTAAAACCAGTCGATGGGAGTCTCCTTTATAGTGCTAGTCAGTTTGTGCACACGGCTCCTGGACCTCAATCCTACTTGATTTGGTTGCGTGTTGATTATATTCTTGATGCTGATTGATGCTACCACTCCGTTACTTGCTCTACTTCCTCCACGCTCCTTCTTTGTGCATGTGTTGTTATCTATCTCCTTACTACAGGCTCCTGAGTTCGGCGTATCCCTTCCCCCCCCTTTTTTGGCTATTCGTTTCCTCTGTGTTTTCCCAGTTACTCCTTCTCGCTCCATTGGGGCGTGCGCTGGGTATTCTCCTCTCATCTTTCCCTGGTGTTTTCTGGTGTTCATGTTTGCTTGTTTTTATAATATGACTATACTCAGGAGTCATGTTTTTAACGAAATTAGCAATATATATATGGGTATAGGTATGCAGGGGTGTATTCAGGTCTTTTCCTGTGTAAGATTGAGAGTATCTTGGTGATGTTTCGATGAGGTCCCACTCATCATCTTCAGGCTGGGTCTTCGGCTTGCTCACACAAGCACGAAGCCGAAGACCTGAGCCTGAAGATGATGAGTGGGACCTCGTCAAAATGTTGCCAAGATACTCTCTATCTTACACGGGAAAAGACCCAAATACACCAAGACCTGCATATATATAGATGAGGCACGACCACGAACGCGAAGCCAAACAATAGCAATGCAGCTCACCATCTCACATTCCTGTGCAACTCAGACTAACCTGAGCACAACAAAGCCCCCACCCAAACAGAACACTCCCCCAACCAATCAGAGCACAGCCAACCTCCCATCCAATCAGAGCACAGCAAACCTCCATCCAATCAGAACACAGCCAAGCTCTCATCCAATCAGTTCATATCCCCACTGGCAGTTAAAAGGAAGAAACAGCTACAATCACACATTGCTCCTAGAAGCACGAAGCCGAAAACACCAACCTGAAGATGACGAATGAGATTTCATCGAAACGTCACCAAGACACTTCCAATTTGACACGGGAGAAAACCCAAATAACCAAAGACCTACATACAAATACCCGCGAAAACCTCAGAAAACACACACACACACACACACACACACACACACACACACACAAATGTAATAATAAATTGCTAGCAGAGAAAATCAGAGAAAAGGGGGAAGAAAAAGAGAAAAAAGTCAGCTGATCCCCCGAGCTCAGAATCTCCGAACTTAACATAGTCCAGATCTCAGCCCTAAACCAAAGAGTCTTTACTGGTATAAATTTACAATTATAAAGATTTTTTAAATAATTTATAATATAATTTATATACTTTACTGGTATAGATTTATAATTATAAAGTTTTACAATCCTTAATGAACCAATGGGACTCATTCTGAGAAAAGGTTTTTAGTGCACACAGTTTGCAGGTCAGGCTACGGAAGGTGGTTGCCACTTATCTTCTGATCAGAAACCACACTTCCTACTTACACGTGTGTGGTTTTTTTTGCCATAGGAAAAAATTAACCCTTGTTGTCCGTTCTTCATGGTATTCTTTCATTGTCCGGTGTCCATTGGAGGTGGGAGGCAATACATTTAAATAAATTAATAACAATAAGCCATTTGAAAAATTAAGGCATAAACTGGCAGTGGTGGTCCCAGTGGTTATCAGCATACCAGATGCCATACAAAAGGTCTTGGACGACACTTAGAAAATCTGCACCTTGACAAAATTACAAAAGGCCATACTGCTTGAATTTGTGCGTGTACTACACCAATTCATTAGGCTCTTGGGAAGATGAAGGCCAACACTGGCTAAAGAACTGGCAATAGTGACTTCATTTTGTTGTGTTTATAATAATAACCTTTTACTGTAAATGTTTAAAAATCAGAAAATTGCATTCTTTCCTTTCTTGGTCAAATTGGGCTAGAAGTAGAATTTCCTGTTGCAGGTTTTACCAAGCTAGAATAACTATGATGCTCTAGTTCTTCTTCATGTAAAATGAATTATATTATTAGGTTTTTTTTAGGATTCTTGCAAGATTCAGACAACAGGTGGGTGGGTTCTGATGTAATGAAAGAACAATCCCTTTTGCATAATGATTGGTTCTCTGTAGGGTGCTGGATGTTCATTTACTTTTCAGAAGCGATCTCACATTTCCTAACGTACTGTACAATAAGGAAACTCATGCTAGGGAAATCATCCATTTTTCATCTTGCACTGAGAGTATGCTGGTATATGATATAAACCATATCATATCCTATGTTTATAACTTTGGTTTCTCTTCTGATTGTATAAACCTTTCACCTTTTTCTTAACTTACGTTTTGATCTGTAACATTCTCAGAAGTGCATTTGGATCCATTGAGGACCTGGTGTCCCTCTGCTAATTGTCAGACTGTGTGCCAAATTGAACCAAGTGACTCTGGATTACCAGTGTCTATAAAATGTCAGAAGTGTTACTTGACATTCTGTTCATCATGCAAAGAGCCTTGGCATGTGGAGGGATCATGTTTGGAAAGCCATATCATGGGGCTTGCAAGTGAGCAAGGGTAAGAAAAGAAATTTGTCTAGCTGTTGCAAAATCTTTATATTATTCAAGTTGCTATAAATACTATATTTCTTTATCTAGAAAAAAAACATTTCTGACACTGGTTAAATAATATAATTAATTGTTTGATAGCTGAAGGGAAGACATTCTGGACTTTGATTGAGGCACCTCAGGTATTTGATGTGCTGCTTCAGCATTCTTGATTCTGGAAGGTCAGTTCCCTTCAGCTAGACTGACTTTTTGTCAGCCCAAATGGCAGATTTGGGGATCAGGATTAGTAGACAATATGACAATTTCTCTGTGGATAAGTGCAATGGAACCTGTTGCCTGGGTATAACTTCAACAGAGTAAATAAAGGGAATTAGTTAAGGGCTGTTTTGTACATTAAGAGGAAGCATGGAAGGAGAGATGCATTTTACTTTCATATCAACTTGTTAAGGCAGAATACTAAAGCAGAAATAAGATGAACTTACCTGCTCATTTTCCCAATGGAAAAAAATATTTGAATGCCAACATTGTCCAACCATTAAAAACATCAACAGAGCACCTGGGTGACCATCTGTTATTTTTGTATGTGTTTGCAAAGGTTGCAGTAAATAACTGTTGCATAAGGGAAGTACTTTTCTCCAGTTGAAGCACATTTACGGGGTCAATATTCTTGTAGGCAACTGAAGTCTGGATGATTAGAGAAATAACCATGGTATCCTTAAGACTGTTTCAGAGTTTTTCCTCCCTTTCTTTCCCCTAGAACACTTATTAAAAGCAACTCAGAAGCTCCAATTAAGCAGTGTCCAGTTTGTCGGATCCATATTGAGCGGAATGAAGGCTGTGCTCAAATGATGTGTAAAAATTGCAAGCACACATTTTGCTGGTACTGCCTACAAAATCTGGATGTAAGTAGACTCTGGCAAAAAGGTTTTTCTCTATAGTTGTTTAACACTTCTAGCTAGGAAGACTTATGCATAAAAGATTAACATTCCATGATTGCATCTCATGATTTTCCTTCTGTTTCCTTTCAAGTTCTGCATCCAAATCCTATGGTAGCAGATCTCTGACATATAACACTTGATGAGATTAAATGGAGTTTTGCAAATGATACATCTCCCTTTTTGTTCAGCTTTACTAGATCTTGCTCCTCATTTACCAGTGATTTTTTTCCTGCTTCTGCTGTATGCTTTATAAAGCCTAACTTTATAAAACATGCAGTAAGTAATTACTTCACAGAAGGTTAATTGGTGTCAAAGTGTGGGTGACACTAATTTTTGTGAAATTCCAAGTTTATAAAATAGAGCTGGAGGAAGCCTAAAGCCTCCTGTTACCACTTTGTTATCCAAGAAGGTTGAACCTATTCATGACGGAGTACTATTTTGCCTTTCAGAATGACATCTTCTTAAGGCATTATGACAAAGGTCCCTGTCGAAATAAACTGGGCCATTCACGAGCCTCAGTTATGTGGAACAGAACACAGGTATGTCAATAACATGGATTTGTGTTTATTCTAAGGCAGTTTGGTCTAGAATAGAATAGACTTAAAGGGCTAATCAGCCTTCCCCTATGGTTCTTTCTAGTGGCTTTAAAGCACCAGGCCGGAAATTGGGAGACTGTGAGTTCTAGTCCCACCTTAGGCATGAAAACTGGCTGGTTGACTTTGGGCCAGTCACTCTCTCTCTCAGCCCAATTCACCTCACAAGATTGTGTGGAAAATAGGCGGAGGAAGGAGTATTAGATATGTTTACTACCTTGAGTTATTTATAAAAGTAATAAAGGCAGGATAAAAATAATCTAAAAATAAGCTTTGATGGTGTACAGCTTCATATATATATAAGGTTTTCCTTCTTATTTCTTCTTTTCAACTTCCAGGTTGTTGGCATCCTAGTGGGCCTGGGAATCGTCGCATTGGTAACATCTCCATTACTGCTCTTAGCTTCGCCATGCATCATTTGTTGTGTCTGCAAATCCTGCCAAAGCAAGAAAAAGAAACATGGCCCACCACCAACATAAAAATTTCTGCCTATTTTGGATGTGAATGTGTTTATCGTCTTTGTCAGGGAGAAGACTAATGGTGGACGTCTTTCACTGTGCTTTACTAACCAATTCTCCTTTGTTTTGCCAACTTCTGTAAAAAGTGCCTACTGGTTCACAGGTTGCCACTTTTATTTACAAGCTGCAGTTCAGGGGGATGGAGTTGGGAGGGCTATTTGTTGTGATCTGGGTAAACTCTGGTTTTTTTTTCCATTTTTTTTTAATGGAGCCGGACTTGTAAGATATTTTAAGTTGTTTCAAAATGACTGCTTTGTTGAAATAGGCAGATGAAACTGCAATTATGCACCAGATTCTGAATGACTATTGATTTTCAGAGCACCTTGATGCTGTATTTCCTGAAGTTATACAGTTGAGTAAGAAAATAAAATGTGTAATTCAGCACTTTTTAAAGAAAATATTGGTTACTTTAAATTTTACATTTCTAGTGCAGACTTAGTGACAGTTGAAAAAAAAACAATTCTCTAAGTTATCACTTTTTAATATTTTTTTAAAAAATCCATAGCTGAAAAGGGGGAAACAAGAAAACTCAAGTATTGAACATAATTGATAGATCATCTTGCCAATCTACATTTTCTTCAAAGGCAAGTCAGGTCAAATAAATTATTTAAAATATATTCTACCTTACTATGGCAGCAAAGCAAATAATATGAGTCTTCCCTTACATAGTAAGCATAAAATGCTGAGCAGATCACCCTATTTGTATCACCCTGGCCTATACATTAATTATTTCCAAGCAGTCGATAAATCCTGAGTGCTAATTGAGATACTAACTTTGGTCTAGAAATTGGACGTACAGCATAACTGACCTGAATATGACATAACTGGGGCTTTATTTATTTTTCTCTAGATTTCATTATTACTATCTTATTCCTCATGGTTGAAGTTTAGCAGGAGAGTGAAAATGATATTGAGACATAAGGAGTTTGTCATCAGTGGAAACAACTGAACTTGCCAAACGATTTGCTTTTGTAGATATACTATTCAGTAAACAATAGAAAATATTTTAAAAACCAAGAACATGATCTTAATAAATATTGTTGCAATAAATAACAGCCATTTTGTCGAGCTAGGGAGAAGCTGTGAAAATAACACAGTTATCTAAACAAATGTTTGTAAGTTGTGGACTACCTGTATATCTACAACAAAACTGGGAAGATAACACATAGCAGCAACCTCAAAACAAGTTCCATGTGTAAGCATAGTTAATAAATCTAGTTTTCAGATTAAATAACTACTTACCTGTGTTGGAGTATCTACTGTCTCAAAACAGATCCTCAGCTAGTGTGAAATCAAAAGAAGAAACACCTTGAAAATATTGGAAAAGAACAAAGGATGATGAAGAATGTACAGTGCTGCAATCTTGGTTACAAGAAAACCATTCTCTATTCGGATCATGTCTTCATCTACACCACCCCATTCTATAGGTGACGTTACATAAACAAGACACTCAACCGTTTCTTGAACAATTAAGTTTATGTATGTATGTATGTAGTCTAATACATCGAAGAAAGCCATGTATGTTTCATAATGCTCAAAATGTAGTCTAATGTGATAAAATTGTCTGGACTTCTACAAGTAAATGCTTTTAATAAGCTTAAATTATTGGATCATTTGCTGTAGAAATAAATTGCCATATTATCAAGGAATGTTTTAGTTAACAGAATACTTTGTGATTATATTATCTTACATATTCTTTATGAAACAGCAATATTCTATCTATCTAGCATGATGGCTGGGGAATTCTGGGAGTTGATATCCACATATCTTAAGGCTGAGGTTGAGAAACACTGAACTAGGACTGCCTGATTTATATGCATCTAATTTTCTGTTATCTAGCTTGATAGTAAAATATAAACCTTAGGAACCTTGGCCAGTGTAAAAATTTAATGAGTAATAATTAGGAATCTTTAGTACAATATCAGAATGAAAAGGGGGAGGGCGTAAGAACCACAATGAAGGACCAGTTCTCCTACTGTAAATTTCACTACTCCCCCCCCAAAAAAACTCTCCACGTCCCCAGTTCTTTTTAGAATTAAAATTGATGAAATTTATAGGAAATTTATAAGACAGAATGTTTAGCAGAAAATGGTAGCCCATCAGATTAAGGATGTATATTTCTTTTTTTTTCTTTTTGCAAAACTTGTTAACATGAATAAATAAAACTTACTTTGACAAAAAGCTCTTGACTTGCTACAGGAAAGGGGTTTTTAATGTTTTAAAGTCTACTGCTATTTTCAATAGACGTCTCAATAATTTTTCTATACGTTCAACATTAAGTGGAAAAGAGCAGGAAACAATGGGCAAAAGTGTGTGCTTTCATTTCTACCATGCATTCTCTCGGGTGAATGGCAAATGGATATTATAGAAAATATATTTAGGTTTAGAAAAAAAAAATAGACATCCTGTGTGGTTCACAGAAGTTATCATGCTAATCAAGGATTTCAAAAAGAAGGTACCATAATTATTCAATGTTTGTTTAAGCTAGTACAATTTTATTACTCTCTCAGTGTAATGAAGGTGCAAGGCTATAATTTTTTAAATTCATTAATTTTCATTAGAAAATTAGAGACTGTGCGGGAAGAAAGTGCAAATGTTCTCTCTAAGTTACTTAATGATTCGGCATTAGGAGCTTTTAAAAATAGAAATGTTCAGTCTTCATTTTCTTTCTTTCCCCCTGCAATATGTGCAAAATCAGAAATTCAGCAAAGCTCATCTTCAGCAAGCTGCTTTTAAAAGAGACTGCAAATATTTAATTTTGTTACTAGAAGACATTTCAGTATGGTCACATATAAGTATTGCCAAGAGAGGAATACAGAAAAGATGGAAAGTAACATTTGTCTTGCTGTGGATTTAACAGCATACTTCAATACTTCAAAAAGCATTGAGACCCAACTCTATAATCTCTAGTCAAGTCAACCAGCAAAAGGAACCTATTTATGGTTTCTTGACTGAGTAATCATCTCCATTGGTGGAATGAAAGACAGCTATCTGATGTGCTTTAGGCACAGAGAGTCCTTGACTTAAGACCTTTTGTTACGTTCAAACTTAAGAGTGGCACTTAAAAAAGTTATTTATGGTCAGTCCTTGCACTTACAACTGTTGCAGCATCCCTATGGTCACGCGATCACAATTTGGATGCTTTGGTAATTGGCACATATTTGTGATGGTTGCAGAATCCTGGGGTCATGTGATTGCCATTTGCCACCTTCCCAATGGGCTTCCAACAAGCCAGGTCAATTGTGGAATCCAGATTCGCTTAACAGCTGTGCAATGCTCTTAACAACTGCAGTGATTCACTTAACACCAGAAGCAAAAATTGGGTGTGACTCACTTAAGAACCACCATGTATAGCAACAGAAATTCTGGTCTCAATTGTGGTTGTAAGTTGAGGACTACCTTTTGACAACTGTCCTATTTTAGGAAACGGAGCTAACATGTTACCACCATTACGTCCTTCTTGTCTTAGTTGATTTTCCATTCCAAAGAAACTAAATATGCTGTCACTGGTCTTTATTACTGGCGAAAGAGAATGCATTCCTACACCGTATAGGTAATTTTCTATTTACCACCACAACAGAGCCCTAAATTTCTGTTGTTAAACAAGACAGTTGCTGAGTTTTGCTCCATTTTACAATCTTTCTCGTCACAGTTGTTAAGTGAACCATTGCAATTGTTAAGTGAATCTGGCTTCCCCAATGACTTTGCTTGTCAGAAGGTCACAAAAGGTAATTACATGACCCCAGGACACTGCAACTGTCATAATATGAACCAGCCTAGAACTAAGGAGAAACTTCCTGACAGTTAGAACAATTAACTAGTGGAACAACCTGCCTCCAGAAATGGTGAATGCTCCAACACTGGAAGTTTTTAAGAAGAGACTGGACAGCAATTTCTCCGAAATGGTATAGGGTTTCCTGCCTGAGCAGGGGGATGGACTAGATGACCTCCAAGGTCCCTTCCAACTTTTTTTAATTATTATTATTATTATTTTTCAGTGCCGTTGTAACTTCAGTCACTAAACAAATGTTTGTAAGCTGAGGACTACCTGTACAACAAAACATGTCCAATACTGTCCACCCTGTGTAACATCTGCTGACTCAGCAGTGGGTATGGTTGTGAGGTATCTACATTCGTGATAGAATACCCATTTTTCTAACTTTGTATTGCTGACAAGTTGAATTACAATTCACAGCCAACATATTTAGCTGATATATGGGTACAAAATGAAAAAAACAACAACAACCCGAAACACTTCATACCATATTGAGAAACGCAGGCCCAGTTTTTCTATCCCTTTGTGCATGCAGTACAAAGTCCAAATTATTTCAAAAACAGAATTTTAATTTATGTTTTAAGATAATTAAAACCTGTCACTAATATTAATGGTTGGCACTTCTAGTTCAAGTGAAACAAGCAATGTAGTTCTGTCTCCTGAGAGAGGTGACAGATTCAAAATACAGATCAAAAGCCAAGCTATAAAATGGAAAGAAAATGTGATGTTGGGCTAATTATGCATCTGATCCTTTTAAAATATTTCCTCCATCAAGGAAAGATGTTTGAATCCAAGGTCACTGAAGCTTTGATTTGTTTTATTATTGGCATACAAACTCCAAACAATATGGCCATTAGCTTTAAGTTGTGGTCATCTCAACACAGCTGTATAAGCTAGATTATCTTTTTAAAAATAATGTTGATGAGTAACCCTCTAACTCAAGTTCTTTCTCCCTGAGAATGTTGAATTGTTGGGAAACTCTACTTTGAGAACAAGGGTTCTTACCTTTTCCCGAATAAGTCTTTCCTGCCTTTAGAAACTGTGCTCCCAGAAAAGATCCCGTGTCTTCACCCCTCCCCAATTATAAACTTATCAATCAATCAGACTAGAGCTGGAAGGGAACTTGGGGATCTTCTAGTTCAGGGTAGGCAACCTTGGCTCTTTTATCACTCGTGGACTTCAACTCCCAGAATTCCTGAGCCAGCCATGCTGGCTCAGGAATTCTGGGAGTTGAAGTCCATGGGTCATAAAAGAGCCTAGATTGCCTACCACTGTTTTAGTTCAACCCTCTGCTCAAGTAGGAGAACCTATACTATTTCAGATGGGTCAGATCCAGTCTTTTCTTAAAAACTTCCAGTGATGAAGAACCTACAACTTTTGAAGGCAAGCTGTTCCACTGGTTAATTGTCCTCACTGTTAGGAAGTTTCTCCTTAGTTCTAGGTTGCTTCTCTTCTTATTGTTCTTCATGTTTTTGTCTCCAGGCCCTTAATCATCTTAGTTGCTCTTCTTTGCACTTTTTCCTCAAAGCCTCAACATCTTTTTTGTAATGTGGTGACCAAAACTGGGTGCAGTATTCCAGGTGTGGCCTTATTAAGGATTTATAAAGCAGTACTAACACTTCACGTGATTTTGATTCTGTGCCTCTGTTTATACAACCAAGGATTGTATTAGCTTTTTTGGCTGCTGCTGCACACTGTTTGCTCATGTTTAAGTGATCATCCACTTAAAGATGCCTCTCACAGTTACTGTACTTGTACCTTTGGTTTTTCCTGCCTATGTGTAAAACCTTGCTTTTCTCCACATTAAATTTCACGTTGTTGGATAGGGCTTCCTATCAAATGCTTATAATGCTTTCCACAAATGCTTATAAGTGTATAGGGCTTCTGCCAGGAGAAAACATTGAGTAGCTAACTGCTATTGCTTAGTAAGAAAAAAGTCATACGAACCATGTATTTTAATATTTTTTTTAATATAGCATTCCTTATTTCTATTTGCAAATAGATGAGTAAAAAAAAAAAGGATTGAGAAAAAAGTATGTATGCCAAATCCCCCAGCCAGTAATATAACTTTCCTCCTCTAAAGCAAACAAGCAAAACTTGTAATTCTTTTCCTTTTGGAAATGGCCATGGAATCCATTTGGACTCTCCAGCCACAGAACACAATAGAGTCTAGAACACGGGTGTCAAACTTGATCATGTCAGGTGACATATTGTGACATGTCACAACGTTTTTGCATTTGCAGAGCTGGGGTACGCATGGCCTCCATGTGATGCATCTGGTCCGCAGGCAACCAGTTTGATGCCCCTGATCTAGAAACTACTAGGTCAGGGGTAGGCAGCCTTGGCTCTTTTATGACTCGTGGACTTCAACTCCCAGAATTCCTGAGCCAGCACAGGTAATCACAGGTAGTCCTGTAAATTGTGAGCCCAAAATTTATGTTGCTAAGTGAGAAATTGAGTTTTGCCCCATTTTATGACTTTTTTTGCCACATTTGTTAAGTGAATCACTGCAGTTGTTAAATGTAACACGATTGTTAAGTAAATCTGGTTTCCCAATTGACTTTGCTTGTCAGAAGGTTGCAAAAGGTGATCACATGGTCCTGGGACACCTGCAACCATCATAAATGTGAGTCGGTTGTCAAGCATCCAAATGTAAATCGGGTGACCATAGGGATGCTGTAAGGGTGAAAAGTATAAAAAATTGTCATAAATCTAAACTCTTTTTTAATAAACTTTTTTTTCAATGCCATTGCAACTTTGAACGGTCACTAAGCGAACTGTTGTTAAGTCGAGGATTACCTGTATACTGGGGAGTGGAAATGACTGAGGAATGAATCTGTACCAAACCTTTCACCACTGCTGCTAGATTTTTTTTTTTTTTTTAGTTTACAAATTTTGTATTTTTACCTTTATTTTCCCCATTTTGGCTGCCTGGCAAACGTGTGCATGAATTTCATTATTCAGTATTCTGGGAGATGAAATCCATACGTGTGAAGGATATCCATCCTGGGGAAGATTTTATACCAGGGGTGTCAAACTGCTGGCCCGTGGGCTGGATGCATCATAGCAAAACCGTGCCCAGCCCATTGCCAGCAATGGCAAAAAAGTCACGATACGTCATGACATGTCACGTGATGTTGTGAGTTTGACACCCCTATTTTATACGGTTTCCAATTCCCCTGGTCATTTTGTGTCTTATCAAACTTCCTGCACAAGTGGATTATCTTTGTTGAGAATTATTATGGAATTATAGGAATAATCCATTAGGATATCTGAGGTTCCCCTGCAATTATATGAGGGAGAAGAAAGATAATTTAACTTTCTTTGAGCGATGATGTAGATCAGTGGTTCTCAACCTGTGGGTCGGGACCCCATTTGGGGTCAAATGACCATTTCACGGGGGTCACCAAACCATGCTGTCCGCCATTTTTTTCCCTTTTCCCTAGCTGTCCTACTCCCTCTTATTGGTGGCCACACCCACTTGGGGGTCACCGCAACATGGGGAACTGTATTATGGGGTCACGGCATTAGAAAGGTTGAGAATCACTGATGTAGATAGAGACAGAGGGCAGAAGTGCATTCATTTTTTTATTATTATGTAGCCTTTGCAATTTTACTGAAAAATCATGCCTCGTGACCTAAAAAAATTGCCCTTCTCTAGATTAGTGAATGAAAAGTACACAGCGCAAAACCTCTAAATTTGAGAAATGGGCATAAAAATGCTAATGAAGCACACTGATTCTCAGTATTAGAGCTGATACTTTATGCACCAGCATTGCAGGCCAGTATTGATGATATATACTATATGCTATATTCTTCCTGTATAACTATTACAATCTTAACTTACAAATATTAGCAGTTTTCTATCAGATGAAATCAATTTATGCTTCGTAAGTTAATGCATATAGAAATTTATTGTTAATTATGAGCACAACAAGCTTCTAATGGTGTGAACAGTATCTTGGTTGATTTTAAAATATGCCAGAAGCGTGAACATTCAGCTGAACAATCTGGCTATTCTGACTCACAACAAACCAGTTATGGAATATTTTTGCAAATTCTATTTGCGCAAGGTGATCATTTTCTTGATTTATAGAAGTGGAACAGCTACAACAGGCTGTAAGGGCAGTATTTGTGCACCACCTAGTGGTACTATGGTCTCAGTAATTTTGCTTTGTGTTTTGTATTTTATAAATATAAATAAATATAAATAATATATGTATAATATATGTATGAAACATATATGTTTTTTCTTGTAAGCATATAATTAGTAGCAATTAGTAATAAGTTTATAGTTAAGCTATAAAACTTTTATAACTATATGGATAAAATAAACTATACAAAACTAACTAAAAAAATCAAATCAGAGAAAGAAAAAATATTAAAAAAACAAAAAGAAAATAACATCAAAAAGAAAAAGTCCAATAATATAACACAAAATTTTAAATTTTGCTACTGTGTATTTTGAAATTTCAATTTTATATTTAAACAAATCATTGCAATTCAGTTTTTAAACAGCAAACTGTCCACCTGCCATATAACCAATTTTACCTATCCATCTAAATTTACCTAATTTTAAAGTTTAAATTTAAAACTGTGCCAGTTTTCAGAGTCTGGATACATAAATGTCTTTTCAGGAATGCACAATCATGCTCTTCACCATAATGCAGGCATAAAAGATCTTAAGTTCTTATAAATTGATCAGTTTCATGTTTTTGTAGTGTATGTTAATGGCACATTGGATCTTTAATCTTCAAGAACCTGGTTTACCATAGCAGTAATATTTAACTGATAGGAAACTAGAAATGGACATTTTTCTTAGCATGTCACTAAAGAGCCCTCAAACTTTAAATGAGAGCCAGTCACATGCTTTTAGGTGCCCAATTAACACAAATACAATTTTTTATTTTTGTTAGATTAACTCTGTTTTAAACATAACAAAACTCACTTTACATTTCTTAAAAGCTGAAATCATTGGCTTTGCAATGTACTCTAACTGCAGGATCCAATCTGGGTTGGTTGGTGGAATCAGAGATTTAATCTTCTGGGAATTTGGACTTGGGCTGGGGCCCATCCTCAGGGAACTTCTCTCTCACCAGAATGTGGTCACAGAGAAATTCACCAGCCTTCAAACTTTCCTCAACGGAGCTTTGCCATGTCCCTGCTCTTGGTACTCTCACCACATTCTGATGAGAGAGACGTTCCCTGAGGATGGGCTTTAGCATGAATCTGAAAGCTCGGAAGGCTAAATCTGTGATCCCGGTGACTGACCCAGATTAGATCCTGCAACATTATCCTGGGACTCATATATTTGCCTTCATGCATGAATATTCTCATGTTCTGTTCCAAATTCCCAATATATTATCTAAATTTATTCTCTTAATTTTTAATTTTTTAATATAGCATGAGCACTTAGACTTGTATACTGCTTCATAGCACTCTACTGAGTGGTTTACAAATGTCAGCATCTGGGTCTGGGTCCTCATTTTATCAACTTCAGAAGGACAGAAGGCTGAGTCGACCTTGAGCAGGACAGGATTGAACTCCTAGCAGTGGGCAGAGTTAGCCTGAAATACTGCATTCGAACCACTGTGCCCCATGACTGTTATATTATATACAATAACAGATTCTTGGTTTAGTCTCTGTCTGATAGCCTTCACCAATAAATTCAATGTTTCCAGAATTTTGATGACTGCTAGGATATCAGGGTCAAACACTGAACTTACCAGACGTTTTCAGTGCATGTATCGCTGTTCAGTGTTTTAGCTAAGGTATACTTCTTTTTTATATTTAAGAAAGTTTAATGAGGGGCACTAATATGCTAAGAGTAACTCTATCACAGAATGTTATTACTTAAATATTAGTATTCAAGAGGATTCATATTGTTTGGTGAAGATTAAAAATTATCATGTACATGCAGTTACATATACCCATTAGAGTTTAGTGTATTGAAATATACAGTCACTGACCAAACACTCAGAAGTTTAAAAAAATACATTGTGTGATGATCCAATAAAATCCTATTTATGCTTGAGAAACTGCTGGGAAGCAATCAGATCCAGGGCCTGCTAATTATGATGTAATGATGATTTTATCCATTTAGTTGTGTCAGACTCTTGGTGATTCTATGGACCAGATCTCTCCACATCTTCCAATTTTGTACTACTACTTTGAATTTTTCTATGCTCTTCCTGGTGTCAGCTTTGGTGGAGGCCTGGTTTCCTCTTACCGCTAACTCTTTCCAACATAAATGCTTTCTCCAGTGAATTCCTCCCCATAATATATGAGACACAGTTTTGTGATTTTACACTAAAGTTACATTTGGCTCAATTCTAGAGATTTTACATAAAAGCATTCTGAATAGTCTGTAATTAGAAGGGAGATTAACTCTGCCCTCCAAAACTGATAAATAGAAGTGTAAAAAGAGGATACACGAACTCATTGTAGCATAGATAAATTTTGGTTCCATCTCTTTATAAATAATAACTAAATGTCTCTACTTGAACTCTTTTCTGGTTTTACCCAACCCTAGCAAAGATATAGACTGGCAGGTGATCCCACATTAGCCAAACCATCCATTCCAAGAAGAGTGGTATCTGTTAAAACTAGTTCAGCCAAAAATGTAATTCCTGCCCCTCCCAACCTTTCTGAGCCAATACCGGTACTTCCACTGGCAGAATTGTAATTAAGCTTTGACTGAAATACAGCCAAATTCTAGATGGAGAAATGCATTAGTGACAGAGCAGGAAACTTGAAGGACTCAGAAATTTAGATTGTACAGCTTCTAATGCATGAGTGCTCTTGTAAGTGGAACATTAAGTGCCATGCATTAAAACACTTAGCATTTTGGCTTTAAAATCTTTAATTGAGCATGTGGGCATGTATTTTTTACTCCTATGGGTTGAATCTCTAATGAGTGCATTAGAGGCTCTTTGGGCTCACAAAGAAAGATTTGAAGAGTAAAGCTTTCGGGAAGATGATGATTGGACATAGATGCCAAGGTATTTGAAAGTCTTCTCTTGCTCAGGTTGATAGTTATCCATATTCCTAATGTGGGGGATGATTACTGCTTGGTGAATATGCCTACCTTGGTTTTGTGCAATTGATTTCTAGCATTACCAATTGACAGCCGGATGCTAAAGCATGAAGGAATTGCAGTCCTGCTTGAGAAAGAGGCAAGATTAAGCATGTCACCAGAATACATGGAGATTGGTTTACTGACCAGAGAAGGGGGATGAAATTCAGCGCTGATGTAAAAATTGAATAATAAAGGGGTCCCTATAACATAATCTTATTTAATTATTATGCAACTATCAAATTTCATAGCTAATCCAAAATGTGTATATATTATTAATAAAATATATATCAAAACCCCAAAACATTCATATACCACAAA